CTGAAGTGCCAGATCCTGCACATCTTGGAAGCTAAGAAGGTTGGGCCTGGTTGAAATCTGGATGGGTGACTTAAAATGTTGTGAACCATACAGACAGCTTTGGCTACAGGCAGTATAGAAATGTAATGTAGTGATGATGATGATGATGATGTATGGAACTTCACTCACCTCTCAGGGTCAGCGCTCACAATGAGCTCTGATAATTCCCTCTATAGGTAAAAAGAGAAAGCATGAAAAATATGTGCAATGCAACAAAAAGTTAAAAGATCTGTTATTAAACTGTAGCAATGTAACTAAAACTCCATTTGGTTATAAACTGGTATAGTTGAATGGTCAGATTTGTACCACTTTTAAAGAAAAATAAAGAAAATTAAAGAAAAAAATTAAAGAAAAGTATTTGAAATATCAATGGAATGGCTGATTTTCAAAATGACTTAAATCATTCCACTTTGATGTGAATGTGTTTATATACTAGAATACAGACCAGAAGGAAAATGAAAGTAAACTTAAAGTGGCAACAAAATGTATATTTTAGATGGGAAGAAGCTGAGATGGGCAGAATTTTTAAAGTATTCCTAATTATCATAATATCAAACAATTATCTATGCTAACAGTAGGTTTTTGAAACTGATGGGGCTAGGTTAACCTATATCTGTAAGGAAGTAAGGAATGCTTTGCAAGGATACCAACTGCATGGAGAGAGAGATGAATTCTCTTCTGATCTTCTAATGAGTACAAGCAGTCAGGGAATCCCTAGACAGACTGTATGAAAAGGGCTCCTGAGTTACAGATGAGGATGAAAAATAATGGCTCGCCTAAGGCCACGAGAGAGTCCTAAGGCAGAAGTGGTATCTCCAGGGTCACACAGCTCAATCATTTTAAAGGCGAGGTTCAGGGCTCAATTTTTTAAAATCACTATAAAATATTATGAAGTGAAATTGAAAGCACTGGAGGAATTGATGGAGAAAGAAAAGTCAGACAATATCCAAATCAGGAATCCCCATGGTCTGTTCCTAGTTTGCAGGTAAATAGTGGGTTGAGGAAATGATAATTCCACTTGGGGAATTACCTTGAGAAATAATGCAAAACTGTGCTTTGTCTCCATCTTGAAACTGAGGGATGAGTCTGTGTCTCTGTTACTGTTCATTCCAGATTCTCCAAACCGTATTGACTAGACTGCATATTGTCATTTGTCTAAAATAAAGACTGGCACATGTTACACTTCACACTAAATGTGTGTGTGTGGGTGGGGGGGGGGATAGAATGCCTCCACTTGTTCAGTTTAATGTACACCAGCACCATAATTATGAACAATTCTAAGGAAATACTGGAGAGGATAGCATACATGAAAATTTAAAATTGATCAAGTTTAATAACAATTTAAACATTCACTTCTTGATACAGTGCAGACTTTCACACTATATTTGATCCAAATAAAATATGAAACCTGATATAGTATATTAAAAAAGGCTATATCACAGCCGTTTTCCTTTTTTTACTTCTGTAGAAAATACCACAGTTATATACAACAGACAATTCTGTACGTCTGTTTAATAAATTAGATGACCACACCCTAGATATTTAGGAACATCTCCAAATGAATGCATTTCATTTCCACTACAATAATAGATACATTTTCTACTATTCCAGTTGCTATTGAAGCATTCAGATTTGTGAGTAAACCAAAATCACATAATGCATCCGAATGCACAATGCTACCAGAATTAACTTGAAAAATGAGAGCTCCCCTCAGCTGTTATCCAGAATCAACCTGAGTTCCTTTTCTGTAACTTTTACTCATTTCACAAAATCATTTCAGTACAAACTGCATTATGTAATGCACTGCATCATGCTGATAATCCCACACCCGTTCTGGGGCAGCGACCGGTGGAACCTGTTGCCTCTGCTTTAACAAAAGGTGACAAAAAGGAGGAAAATGGTGACTCTTGGACTCTACCCCAGTACCCCCAAAAGGTGTGGCATGAAACGTTCTTAAAAACAAAAGAGTGCGAAAGGGTTTCCTAGCATTTATTCAGAAGCCAAATACTGTTTAAGAATCAGACTTTGATATTCATGAGTAAGGAAATATTCGAGCTATAAGACTAAGTTCAAATAAACTTTAACTGCTACTCCAAAAACTAAGATAAAACAAAGCAAAGAATACACAGCTACAGAAAATCTGTGAGTCAATGGAGTCAGAAATCCCTGCTGCAAAGTTGAGCTGTCATACTGCCTCTCACCAAGTGGAAAATGTATAAAATGCAGGGAAAATTGAAAAGGAGGATATTTTGTCATTAGTCTAAAAAGTTCAATGCATATATAAATGGATATACTGTGTACCGGAAGAAAATGCTTGTTCAAATTTTACAAAGTTCGACTAATCTTGGGAAGATAGGAAAGTGTTATGCAGGGTGCTAAACACTCGCCCAGTGACTCATTTCAGCACTCAGTATTTTGCAAGTTTTACCAAAAACCCTTCCAAGCTTTCCTTCATAACCTCAAGGTTTCAGTGAAGTTGATATAATGAAGACGCTGGATTCTGCAGCCACCACATTTTCTCCTCTCAGCAGGAATGAACATACACAGCTTTGGATAATGAGACCAAATAGATTGATGCAAAAAACCTTCCAGCCCACACAACACTATTTAGAAATACCCTAAAATAAGAGGAGCCATGCAGAATCACAGCAAGTGCTTATCTAGTTTAGCATCCTGGCCACAGCTGCCTGTTGGAAGTCCAAAATCAGGACACTGGTGCAACAGTACCTCCCACTCAAGTTCCCCAGCAGCTGGAAAACAAAGGTATATTGCCTCTGATAGTGGAGATAGCATTTAGCCAGGAGACCAAGTTGCCATCAATAATCTTACCCACCACTAACTTATCTGGTCCCTTTTTAAACACATCCAAATCAATACGTCTTGCTTAACTTGTCTCTTTGAAGAAGCACTTCCTTCTATTTGACCTCAATCTCTTACATTGATGCAACCAGCCTGAGTCCTGGTATTATGAAAGGAAGAAAAATGCCTATCTCCTTTTTTCACATATTTGTCTATGCAGAAAAACAAACAAGCAAACAACACTTAAGAGTCTTCACAGAGGAGACTGCAGCCCCTTGATAATTTGTTTGCTCTGATTGCAATCAGACTGAAATACTGGAAAATCTAAACTATCAAAACATAGCAGGATATTTCCTAAATGGTTTGGTAAAAACTGTCAACACATGTCATCATGCCAACATGGTGTGCATGCATTTGTCTGGGAAGGTAGCTATGAGAAATATCTTCCTTTGAATAAACCCTGGGAATCTTTCAGAATGGACCGAATAAGACCACTCGGGAGAAATGACAGAACAATGGGTAAACTGAGAGGTCAACTAGTTAGCTCCAACTGTAGCCTGTAAATAGAAAGGATTCTATGGCCTAGCGGTTCAAATTATGCCAGCTAAGACCATATGCTCTGTCTTGATCAGTAATATTCAGTCTGGTTTTGTTTATGGAATGATATTCAATGAAAGACAATAATTTCACAGGATGAAAATGATACTTTAATCACATGCAATCCCAGAAGCATGTTGTCTTAATTAAACTGCATTTGCTTTATTGAATTGTATTAGTTTGGAGAGATCCCGCTCCAGCATGACTAATACCGCATTTTAATAATGTACTAAGTAAGGCTGTAAAGCTTGACTGCTTACATTTTGAAAATACTAGTTGTATCTATTAAAAAATATACCAGAACAAACATGTTTAGAAATTAAAATAATGGTTGTTTTCACATATGAGGGGGCTGTATATATTTTGATTAGTAAACCACAGAGTTCGCTTACACAAAAAGTCAGAAAAGCTTTTTTTCCCTTTTACCATGAAATAATTCTGGACACACGGAGCAAAAGGCATTTTGACCCACCCTTGTAAACCATGAAGCCCAGAAATGCTACAATAAATGCATGTGAGTCTATTCATTTTCAACAGGTATTCTGTACAATCTTTTCCACATCAGTACAGAGTACTAACTGAGCCTGTTAACTCCAAATGGCAAATATTCAACAAACATTTGGGTCAGCCCTTTAAACATCATGAAATGAAGTTGAAAATCTTTGTGTTTGAAAAAGCAAACAAAAGCATTTTAAAAATAAAACATGTGTTTTGGTAAATATTTTGTCTGTACCCCAATGAAGTTACCACAGGGACTAACAAGAACCCAAGGAGCACAATTCCCCTCCACAGTGGTTATTTTTAAAAATGGACTGCTGTTAATAATAATTTAAAAACTATCAAGAGATTTGAGGCTGCAAAACGACCTGTCTCTGCCTGCACATACTCAAATATGCTCAGGCATCCCTTTCTTTTGCTCATGAAAATATTCATCCAGAGAATGACTGAAAAATTTCCTTTTATCTCTGCTATGTTACCATGTCTAACAAAATGAACTGGTTGACCAATAAGAACAACATTTCAAACAAAGCAGAACTTTTGTTTATTGAAATGTAAACCCTTTGTGACTAGGAGAAGTGTGGAAGAAAAACCCAAGATATAGAAGAAAACTGGACAAAGACAGCATTTCTGGTGAATAACAAGCTGCTGAAATCCCTCTCGTGCCTATTGAGTCGTATGGAGGATTAGTTCTTCCTAATCCAACCTAACTATTCTAAGGAAAACACACTGCCTTGCTTCATCAATATGTTAAAAGGGCTGCAGTTGTAAAGCAAAACTGAAAGAAATTATCATACATATTAAGCATTTTAACACAAACGTTTAATGTTTCGATAGCAGTGCTATTGCATTTTCAGAAAAAAAACACCATTTTCAGAAGAATCTCACCATTTTAATAGTCAATGCAAAGGATACTACAGCAACAACTTTGGTAAATCAGAAACAGCAAAATGCAACACCCACTGCTTCTCACAGCCTCTTTGTTCCAGCATAATCTAGGAAAATAAAATTGTAAAAGACCAACAGATCTTGGCATATAATACAAACACTATGGATATTTCTCTTACCTTTAATGGACACATGCTGAAAGAACACTCACATTTACAGACATTTCTCAGGATAATGATGCTACAAAAATCCTTCGCTGACACAGGTCAGCTGCCACAGAACAGTACTAAAATTGTCACTGGGTCAGAATTACCCAGTGGCTTGATAAAAATCAGCTTACTTCGTCTAATCTGGCAACAGTGTGCAGATCGCTCTGCATTACCCAAAGCGCAAATATTGCAGAACAAGAAGTAGAAAGAATTGCTGTGAGCCACAATCTACAAACAGGAAATACTTATTAATGCTATTACTGTTATTAAAAAGGGAAGACAATGGCAGTGCAATGCTAGAGTTAAGAAGTTGTAGGGAGTGGCAGAAGCTTCAAACAATCTAATGTAGTTTAAGTAACTTCAGGAGCTTTGCAAGATTTCCCAAGGCTCATTTCTTTATAGATACATATACAGTATTATTCCAGCCTCTTTTCGCTTGACTTACAATATATTTAATATTTCTCCCAAATCTGTCCACTACAAGAGTGTAAATCATACCCTGCATAGACATGTCCATCATTTGCATTAATCTGAACCCGACACCAATTTTATTCTGATAATGTTTTGGCTGAAAAATGGAAACATTCCAGGATGATAAAGGAAATGGTAGAAGGAAGAAGCAGCAGCAGAAGCAACAAGAGCAGCAACAGCTGCTTCTCCAGAGCAGCCTATGAAAGGGGTGACTGGAAACGGGCTTTCTGGCACTTTTTTCTCCCCACCAGCCTCAACATGTCTTCCTCACTAAAGTTCTCCTGAGCACTGCAGGACTCGGCCAAGTTGGGTGCGGACAGCTGGCAGGGAAAGGGGAAAAGGCAGAAAATTAGGGACAGGCACCTTCTGCTCCATTCCCAGAAGATTCTTCTCCCTGGCTATGAGCTCCTCCTTCCTTGTCAGCTGCAATCCCCTTGCCCACACTACTCAAAAGGATCCGTGACTAAGCATTTCCTCTGGATACTGGCAAGAGGAGCAAGTGAAAAATTCAGCTTCCCCAGTGTCCTTCCATGGATCAATCTCTGGACCCTTTCATTAAGAATAAGAATATAAAAGCTGCCATAGTAAAAGCCAGGACCACTATGGATGCTTCCCTTGGCCCTGCCCCATCAGATTTATGCATGCCATTTCTTTTTTAAAAACCATTTTTTCTGAAGATCATTTCCCTTGGGTGTCTGGAAAACAGAAGAGTTCCAGGGGTTCCATTCTTTGCCTTCTGCTTGCCTAGAATGATCCTGGTACTAGAGTAATAAACAAACTGGCAGAATAATTATCAGAACCACTGTCTATTTGAGAAATTATTAGGATGTCTGAGGTGCCATATGATAGGAAGGGAAAAAGGAGCATCCTGGAAACTACAGACTAGTTAGTCTGGAATCAATCCCTGGGAAAATTCTGGCACAGATAATAAAGAAGTCAATCTGTAAGCACCTTGAAGCAGTAATTAGTAGAAGCCAGAACAGATTTATCAAGAGCACATCTCACTGAACTGATCTAATATTTTCATTGGGTAAGTTCCCTGATGGACTGTGAAAATGCTGTGGACATAAACCTTCTTGACTTCAGCAAAGTTTTTGACAAAGAGTCCCATGATATCCTGATTAGCAAACTAGCTAAAAATGGGCTAGATGGAACAGTTATAAGATGGATCCACAGTTGGCTACAGAATTAGACTCAAAATGCACTTATCATTGGCATGTTCTCAAACTTAGGGGTAGAAACTAGGGGGGACTGCAGGGTTAAGTCTTGGGCCCAGTTTTTTTCAATGTTTTTATTAATAATTTGGGCGATGAGGTGCAGGGAATGCTATCAAATTTGCAGAAGACTCAAAACTGGATGGGATAGCTAATTCCCCTTAAAACAACAGAATGAAAGAGAACAGGGTCAAATACCAAGTTCTGCAGAAAAAGGAAGAAACCCCAAGTATATAGTTACAATTTGGGGATACTTGGCTAAAAAGTACTACAGGCAAAAAAGATCTTGGAATTGCTGTGGATCACAAGCTGAATATTAGCTAACAATGAGATGTGGCTGCAAGGAAGCAAATGCTATTTTGAACTGCAATATTAGAAGGATTTCTTAGATATCCCATGAGGTATTGGCAGTCATTAGACACCACTCTTTGTAAAAGGATGTAGACGTGCTAGAAAAGGTGCAGAGAAGAGTGACAAAGATGATCGGGGATCTAGAAACAAAGATCTGTGAGGGGAGATTGAAAGAGCTGGGTACATTTAGCCTAAAAAGAGAAGACTAACAGGAGATATGATGGCACTTTTCAAATGCTTGAAAGGCTGTCACACAGGAGCTCTTCTCATTCATGCCAAGAGTGCAAGACCCAGAAAAATGGGCTTAAGTAACTTGAAACCAGATTCTGAACAGACATCAGGAAAAAAAAAATCCTCACTGTTATAGCAGTATGGCAATGGAACCAATTACCTAGGGAAGTTGTGGGATCCTCCACAACGGAGGCATCAAAGCATTGGTTGGGAATGCTTTAACTTGAGGCTGGGGCATTAAGCTGGAGCTGGACTCAATGACCTTACAGGTCCATTTGAATGCTAATATTCTATGAATCTATGAGTCTATGGGTCCCCTGTGTACCTGGAATGCACTTCAGAGTAGAGAAAGAAGGCAAGGCAACTGAAAGCTATGCTACTTTTCATCCAGCTAAAACTGTGCTAGCCTGATCAAACATGGTATTCCTTTCACATATCATGAAGACGGGTTGTTTTATGTAGAAGGTAGCTGCATTTACTACACTTGATTTTTTAAAAAAAATCAGGTGAGATGCTACAGCAGCATAGAAAATTCGGAAGAATTACATTTTAAAAACAGAACTAAAATGAGAAAAATCCTAAAAGGTGGAAAGTTTCCAAGAACCTCACTGGAATTTTCAAAAGTGCAAAGGCCATTCTAATCCCTCCTTTTCTTGATGAGATTCTGATCTGGGTACTTTGTTTTGGATTTTGCATAGATCCTCAGTATCTGTACATGCAAGTCAAGTTAGTGGCTGAGAAAGAATTTGATCTATGCAAAATCCTCAAGCAGTAAGCCAGGTAAACTAATTATTATTATTAAAATGATGTGCACTAGATACATTCCCCTGTCCACATTGCTTCCCAAATCACAGTATACGTACGCATGATTGTAGAATCAAGTTATGCTAAACTCTTGCAATATGTCCCAAACAGCATGGCAGGACTACGAGCCTCACCCAGTGAGTAAAGGGATCTTTGCTCCTTCTCCCCACGCCATCATTCAGAGCAAAGGCAATGAGAGGGTTTCATTTGCCTTCTGTTATGTCATCACATGGGCAAAGTGGTGATGCTTGAGACATCATCATATTTATTACATATTCCCTGATGGATCGGATTGCTCATGATCACTCAGTAAAGCAACCCATTCAAGAGAAGAAACTCTAAAGCAGGAAATGATTTGGTAAAGAACAGCTACAAACAGGTGTGACAAAATATGCAGGAAAAGGAAACAATCAATTTTCTTTTCTAGTACAATACCAGCTCTTACAAAACAAAGAACTAGGGAAAAATAGCTATTCTTCCTAATGGAACATAAAAGCCATGCTGGATCAAAACCAAGTTCCATCCAGTCCAGCACTCCATACACATGGTGGCAACAAGCCGCCCACAGGATCTCTCAAGCTGGATGGGTACAAGACCTCCATTGTCCAAGCTCCTCAGCAGCTGGTGTATGCAGGAATGCCACCTCGGGTAAAGGAGGCAGCACACAACCAGCAAGGCTAGAAGCCACTGATACCCTCCTCCTCTTGCTGTTTTCCAAGATACCGTGTCCCTTCATTCTTAGGCTACAAGGACTACATCAACAACTCCAACTCCTCCTCCTCCTTCTCTTCAGAATAAAAAATTTATCTGAGCAGCCCGATGAATGAGACGTGGGCCCCCTTCCTACATTAACATAGTTTCTTCTTCCAAACCCTAGCCACACCTTGATAAGTATAGAAATTATTTTTTGTAAACCAAATTATTCATTTGTAAACACTGAACAAATATTCCTGGTGGGGAAATAGTATGCATAAAGAAAAAACCCATCGTTCATGCCAAGAAATCCAGGAAAAATGCACTTATGAATATCTCTAGGCATACTGAAATATTAATATTTTTAAAGGAAGGTGCCAATGACATGTTGATTTGGTATTGAAAGCTTTATTGAATTAAAAATGAAGATAATTTTTTCCCCCACAGACATCATATATGTGAGTTTAGTTTCCAGGGGGAACCAAAAGATTGAAAGATTAAAAGCATTCCAAATAGCATAGGAATGGCTTGGACAAGAATTCAAAAGCCAAATCCTGGCACTAATGTTTCACTTTGTATCATTAAAGCTTAAATATGACCACCACTTTAGGAAATAATGGCCTCAGGAAATACATAATTATCTAACCTTCAGAAAGTTTTGCAAGACAATGTATAATATGATTTCAACTACTGAAATTAGTGTACAAAAATCTATCGTCCCAAATGACCAGCTTTAAGTAACTGCTTAAACTCTGATTCCAAACTGTACAATCACTGAGCCGGTATGACTTTCAAATTTAAGCTATGCTAAGCTATACTGGTTCACTGAATGACTAGTCTGTAGCCTCTTCAAGATGTCATGGCTGAAAGGATACAGTCAAGACAGTTGCTGGCCACCCCAATTACTGCTGAATCCTCCAGTCATCACTTTTCAAGTGCAGGAGAGACAGGAACTATGCAGCCCTGGAGAGAAAGAGGGGGAAATGGGTATCTTGGATTTAGGCTCCTGAGCCCCAGTGGCCCTTGGGATCAGATCGGCCTAAGTACGCAATGTATGACAAAACTGCATGGAAAACACACTAATGATGCAATACAGAAAGATTATCAAACCAGTCAATTCCAACATTAGTTTGAAATCTGCTTTGTTACAGAGAAATACGCAAGTGACTCAGAATTTAGGCCAACAAGCAGGAAAAAAAAAGTAAAGCCCTTTTGAGACAAGTGGCAAGAAGGTATTCATTTGAAATACAATGACAAAGCAGCCGTTCAGTATGACAGGGCTTTCATGTGGAACAGCTACCATGCCTTTGGGTGGCTATTAACTAGGTGACTTTCTATGCGAGTGGA